TTTATGTAAAGGGGAGGACAGAAGAAAGACAAAGTTGTCAGAATGTGTCCACTTTGAAAAAGTGAAGAAATTTGCACTAATTTTATTTTAGACAGTAGCCATGATGCCTCTATCCACATCACTACAGATAAAGAAAAAAGTTGATTTCTCATACAGTTTTTTTTTTTAATGTGAGATCAGGTTAGATTACCTTTGCCTCACTGGTTTTTCCCTTGTGAAGTTGGAGATTCTTATATGGCCTCTTTTCTTCATGGTGAGGTTGCAAGTAATCTCTTGTGATAAGAATAAGGAGACCTGGGAGGAAAAGCTGTGGTGTGGAGCCGGGTAGAATGAATTAAAAGATGAACAGTACGGAAAGCCAAGCCATCTTACTGTAGCATTGATACTTTAAGTTTTACTTTTCCTGTGAATGTGTTTTGTAATTGGCTTTATTTAAACACTAAATTTAAGTTCATTTTGCTCTTTAGGGGTGGCAATTCCAGTAAATAAAAATTTATCATATAGAAAATAATATAGTCATTTTTGCTTTCTTTCCACAGTTCTAAATTTCTGTTTATTCCTTCTATATCCACCATTTTTAATTCATCTGTAAATGCCAATCAAGGTTTGATTTTATTTTTAAAAGTGACCTGTAGTAAACAGAAAGTTTCTTTCTTTTTAAAAATTATCCTTTGATTTTATTTAGCACTTATTATTTACCATAACAGTTTAAAAAGGAAGATTCTAAGCTCTTCATTTTTTTTTTTTTTTCCTTTTTGTCTTTTTTCGTGACTGGCATCGGATCGCAACCCTCAGTGTCGCGCCCGTACCGGACCAGGACCGGCAACGGGATCGCAACCCTCAGTGTTGCGCCCGCACCTCGCTCAGCCAGTGAGCGGCTGGTCTATATGTGGGATCCGAACCCTTGGTGCGCCACCGGGCCGGCCCGAAGCTCTTCATTTTTCCCATACTTCCACGGCAGTAATTATAACACTTGGTTTAAAATTAACTTAATCTGAAGTATATAATTTATTCATACTACCACTATTATGCAGTACCTGATTGTAACCAGATCTGTATACTTTGTACTGATAATACAAAAAAGAAAGACAGGAAGCCTTCCTTTAGGGAGCTTAAGTTCAGAAACTGGTAACCCATCAAAATATAATGTAGTGAATAAAAAAGAAAACAAGGTATAATACTATAACATTAGGTGAAGGAAGCAAACCTGAAGGAAGATAATTTATTCTACTTCAGTTGTTCTTTCTCATTTTAAATGAGAGCCGTATCATTATGTTGATTTTGAATACAGTAGAAAACATCTTGTTACCCTCATTGAAACAGTATTTGTAAACCATGTTCTGGGATCTTGAAATAGAATACCCTTATTTGCTCAAGATTACCATATTGGTATCTTTATTGTAAATTGTAAATCTGGCTATTTAAAGCGGTGGTTCTCAAACTTTAGTTTCTATCAGAATCATTGGAGGGTTTATTAAACTAGATTACCTGGCACCACCCCAAGAATATCTAATTCGGTAGGTCTTGTGTGGGTCCAAATATTTACATTTCTGACAAGTTCCCAGGTGATGCTGATACTTCTGGTTGGGACTGTACTTAGAGAACTACTGATTATCTGAGCTCAAAAAACTGTAATTGCTTCCCATCTAATTACTATCAGTATGCATTTGAGTTCCTTTGTGCCAAGCACTGTGTTCACTTTACAGAGGTGAAGATGATATGGAACCTTCCTCAGGAGCTCAGTCTAATAGGATCAACAGTGGTTATTACAATAATGAAAATAATTACTGTCATGTATTGAGTGCTCAGAGTGCCAGGTACTATGACATGTATTTAAAACTTACTTAATCCTCACAGGAGTTTTATGAATAAGGACTTATAATCCTTATTTTAAATGAAAAAACTGAAGTCTAACAAGGTTAAATAATTTCCCAGAGTTTACACAGTTGAGTATATCGAGGAGCCAGAATTTGCTATTCTGCCTTCCTGCACTATAAAAAGTTTGCGAAGATTGGTGGATCATAGGAAAGATGGAGTAATTGGCTCTACCTTAGGAAATCAGAAGGCATCATAGAAGAGATGACACTGGAGCATCTTAAGGAATGAGTGAAAGATAGCCAGAAGCATTGGAACTGTGAGCATTTCCAGATGAGGGAGAAGTTTCTGCAAGCCAAGAAAACCTGAGAGAACATATGTTCCACAGGCTACAAATAGTTACGTAAGATCAGACGGAGTTTTAGAGGAAAAGAGACCATATAATGCAGAAGTCAGGGTCACGAATTTTGTATACCAGGCAAAAGAAGTTTTTAAAATATAATTAGATTTTAAAAATTCTTTCTCCTATAACTTTCATCTCTGTAAGCCAGTGATTGGACAGCAGAATCAGCATCATCTGAGAAATTGCTGGAAATGCAGATTCCTGGGCCCCATCCTTATACTTACTAAATCAGAAACTCCGAGGTAGAGCCTAACAATCCGTGTTTTTGTTTTGTTTTGTTTTGTTTTTTTGTCTTTTTTCGTGTCCGGCAACGGATCGCAACCCTCAGTGTCGCGCCCATACTGGACCGGGACCGGCAACGGGATCGCAACCCTCGGTGCTGCGCCCGCACCTCGCTCAGCCAGTGAGCGGGAACCCGTCTGTATGTGGGATCCGAACCCTCGGCGGGAGCACCGTCGCACTCCCAAGCGGCACACTGTAGCAGTGCGCCACCGGGCCGGCCCCCTAACAATCCGTGTTTTAACAAGACCTTCAGATGACACTAGTGCGTAGCAAAGTTTGAGACCACTGCAGTAGGTTATGGAATTCTTGAAAAACAGCCTGCAAAATAGTCAGAGGTCACTGTAGTGATAGTTATTGTGTCTCTGACTGATTTAATTCTGTTAAAGTACAATGCTCAACGAAGTTGAAATATCAGTAGCTTTTAAGGGATACATATCTTCAACATGATCCGTTTATACCTTGCAAACCTTGCCGTTTTCTCTGTTGCTGCTGTAAAAAAGGCCTGAGTCAGGACAAGAGGTTTTTAGATCAGCATTCAAGGAATAGTATGCCAGTTATTATTCCTTAGCTACAGCAATGATTTTAAAACTGGCTGACTGATTTTAATTATCAAATAAAATGAAGCAATAAACACTTTTTAAGGGTTTTTTCTTTCTCCTGACTGCTTATTAATATTTAAAACTATTAAAGTTAGCAGCTAAGGTGTTCCGTTTAAAGCAGACGTGTTGAAGGAGTTGAATGTATTTGTCATGAAATGACTTTTAAAGAAATTCACTCTTTCCTTGACATAAAAATATAGAAAGTATAATCTAGGAATCTCAAGCAAACTAATCTAAATACCTATCACTATCTTTTTTGCCAAGTTGGGGTTGATATTTGTGGTGAATATATCTACAGGTATATATTTACATAGTATCTGGCAGTGAACTTTACACTAAAGCCACATGATTTATGCGGTTGTTCTGTAGTTTATAGTTACATATAGTCATACTTTGCTTTGCACAGCTCTCTACAAGTATTTAAAGCCCAACATGTATAAAGTATTTACTAATGGTCTATATATATCCTTTCCAGATATTAGGTAGACAGATCTCCTTTTCATCTTAGAAATGCCAGCAGCAAGAAGGGACATATTATGGTAATCAATATGGTTAATGCACAAATAAACAGACGTAGTGTTTTTGATGTATTGATTGAGTTTCAAGGATTTAAAAGTGGGAAGTCCATTGAGGCATTAACAGAAACCCCTCCAGGGAAGTTAAATAGGTGGTATGCTGATGGTCACACAGGCAGTGAGTAGCAGAACTACGATTATAACCAGGTCTACTTGGATTACAGTATAAAAGGCATAACTACATCAAACAGGGTATACTGAACCTCAGTCTGATAGAACATTAAGGGTCCACACTAAAGTAAAATAATCTTCAGGTATTTTAGCACCAAAATCTTCTCAGATGGGGTATACTTTATGAAGAATATTTAGTAACATTTTATATAAAAGTTATCTTAAAAACCTTTTTGTATTGATAAAGTAGATTAAAATATCAAATTTTTCTTTACAAGAGTAATTTTTTTAAAAACTAGTAACTTTTTAAAAATTTACAAAAATATCAAGAGAATATAGATTCTTGCTACTCTTACTTTTTAAGTACATGGAAGAATATAAATCACCAAAGAGGACAATTATTCAACCTTCTGTGTCATTGTCATACAAATGCTAAGGTGATATTTGAACTTGGGATGTACTTACTGGCTAGACTACTTTCAATTATTTCCAGGAAAAACTGGTCTAAACCGCATACCTTATTAGGTGATTTTTGCCAGCAGGTAACCTACAATCAAAGCATGCTGGTCTGCTAAAATGTTGAGTTCCTTGTTAACCAACCCTGCCCAAAAGCCGTCTGAATCATTTTTACAAGCCAGTTCTAAAAATTTTTAAACCAGTTATTAAAATATAAAATTTATAGAAGAAAATTCATTGTGTGAATTTTTTTATCACTACTATTTTTTTTGATGGCTGGCCAGTAAGGGGATTCAAACCCTTGACCTTGGTGTTATAACACCGTGATCATCTGAATTTTAATACAGTAAAGAATCACTGGGATTTCCACATGAAAGCCAGTTAGAATATATAGTTGGTTAATGAAAAGTTTGAGAGAGATGGAGAGAGCACTGCTCTTTCAAAATATATCCTTTTAAGACCACTGAATTGAGAAATCCTGAGTAGAATTGGAAGTTACTTTTAAAGTAGCATATGTATATCTTAGGCACATTAAAAACATTGGAACTACAAAGGATTTTTAGAAGTCATCTGTTTACCAAAACCCTCATTTTAAAAATGAGAGCTCTACTGAAATTGTGAGAATAGACTTAATAAACAATTTGATATTATTGTATTTGATTTTAAGTAAAGCACAAATGTCTTTCACATTATTTTAAGAGTTGGAAGGGAGGTTTGGTTTTTTAGAATAATTTAATGAAATATTCTAATTTTTTCCAGTGCATCTGGGGGAGGTGGTGTAGCCATTGACAACAAAATAGAACAAGCAATGGTAAGTAAAAGTTTATAGTCCTTTCGTTTCATAAATTGTTGGTTGTATGCACTTGATTTTTATCAGTTCTAGAACAGACACCTAATTTCTTTAAATCAGAGATGATGAAATTGTATTTTTTGATGAAATTTACTTGCAGATGCTAGGACATTGGGAGTTTTATGTCTGGAAATACCAATTCAGTAAATATTTCTCCCATTTGAACATTTCACATTTCATGCATTAACATTGATATAGGGTCATGGGGGGGGCATACATAATTAAATGTAACACATTCCCAAAATATTTCAACATTGAAAATAGTTTAGGGACAAAAGAATATTAAAGTGAAAACTTCAGCTGGAAATCTTGGTCATCCTTTGGTCATTCACAGCCAGTTTTTTTTGGTTTTTTTTTTGTCTTTTTGTCTTTTTCCGTGTCCGGCAACGGATCGCAACCCTCAGTGTTGCCCCCGTACCGGACCGGGGACCGGCAACAGGATTGCAACCCTCGGTGTTGCCCCCGCGCCTCGCTCAGCCAGTGAGCAGGAACCGGTCTGTATGTGGGATCCGAACCCTCGGGCGGGAGCGCCGCTGCGCTTCCCAAGCAGCGCACTTATCCAGTGCGCCACCGGGCCGGCCCATTCACAGCCAGTTTTACTGAACTTTAATAAATAGGCTTGGTTTTGGTTCCGATTTCTGCTATTGCCGTAAATTTTTTGTTTCCTTAAAGATATTCTGTACATATTATACAAAATATTTTTACTCAAGTTTAGTAAAACTGCCTATAAGCTATAAATAAGGACTGTTAGTCTCAAACTATTAAAAAATAAATCCTAAGATTTAAAAGTTGGAAATTACAGGTCACTTTATCTCTAAAGCTGTACTATGACTAGTTTAATATCAAACAGCATTCCACTGGAATATTTATTGCTTTGTTCTCTTAATGTGACATCTAATCATTGATTTTAACTTTTTTTTTATTCTAAGCTTATAATTGACAAGTTAGGGAGCTAGTATTTTTGAAAATCATTCCAAACTTTGAAAAGAAAATCTTGGGCTTGCTGCTCTAGTTAGGAACTGTATTCTTTTCACCCCATCTCCTAAGATGTAGCAGAACCATTAAAAGCAACACCAGGAAAACTAATATAGAAACACTTTGTGTTTGTAAGGCACCAAGAAGGCTAGCACCAAATAGCTTCACCTTTCCCTTTCACTCTTTTTGACATTCCCAATTTTATTTTTTACAGGATCTGGTGAAAAGCCATTTGATGTATGCAGTAAGAGAAGAAGTGGAAGTTCTAAAGGAACAAATAAAAGAATTAGTTGAAAGAAACTCTTTACTTGAACGAGAAAATGCACTGTTAAAATCTCTTTCAAACAATGATCAGTTATCCCAACTCCCAGCCCAACAGGCCAATCCTGGTAGCACTTCTCAACAGCAAGCAGTGATAGCACAGCCTCCGCAGCCAACGCAACCTCCTCAGCAGCCGAATGTCTCCTCAGCATAAAGCTTTCTTAAGCCTCATTAAGAAAAAAACTGAAAGCAATCTATCCTTGTGTGCCACTGGTGTTCTTTCCACTTTATACGAAAGCAAGTAGCCATGCTTCAATTTTGTGTTTGGCCTTTTCAGTATTAGACAATCATTCTACAAGAGCTTTTCCTCTGAGATGTCATGCAGCGCTGTTGTTGTCCAGTTCTATATCATCAGTACACAAGGAGAATAACAGATGGGGTTTATTAAAGTGAGCAAAGTCTGCATTTTACCTGGTGCACATGAGTAGGGTCTTTAAAGAGTTTTGGTGGCTCTCCCATGTTTCCTACTACCCATGGATTTACCCTGAGCCTTCCTATCACATTATAAATAACAGTTCATCTAAAGAGCCACTTTTCTTTCAATATCAGTAACATTTGCCTACATAAGTTTTCATTTATTTGTGTTTTATTTATTACAGGGCTGCTATTTTCATAATGTACATGAACAATGTCACAGAATTTTTTTAATTTTTTTGAATAATTATAATTATCAGTAAAGGAATTGACAGACAGGATTGCATTTAATAGATAAAATGTTTAGGCAATAATTGAACAAGAGAATCCTGGCATATTTCTAACACTAATGGCAATTTACCTTTGGTATTTATTTTTAGTAGTAAAGACCCAGCTTGAATGTAAATTTTGTATAGTGTAAGTATGAAGAACATAGTGCAACTGTACAGGTAGTCACCAGTTATTGTGATATAATAAATAATTGGGCTATTTTGATGAAGAAAACTTTGTTCATTTGTTTCTACTTTCTAATAGAGAAATTGCCACAATTCCTCTGCTTTTCAACATTTCGTATGACTTTTTTTTCGGGTGGGAATAAAAAGCTGTGAAATTGTTCAACCTACTTTGTAACCAAAGAAGCAAAGCTGTGTAATGGAGTTGTTGTGGTTTTTTGGGGTTTTTGTTTGTTTGTTTTTTTAATATATAATGCACATTCTTTATGTATTTTTATTTAGTGTTTTCTCGGTCACAATTTTCTTTGCTGTCTAGCATGATCTGCATGACCTATAATCTTTGAACCACTTTCGTACCTCATATTTTTATCCAGCACTCTTATTGTAATATGTACTAGTCTGTGAACAATGTCAAATAAAAAAGAACGAACAGGTAGTATGGTGGAGCTGAGCTAGTGTACAATACACTAGTTGTATTAAAAAAAAAAAAAAAAGAAGTGAGCCATCTTTTCATTTAAAATGGTGTTTTGAATTTCATATGCAGAAAACGTTTTGTTACATTGCAGATTTTAATGTATTTAATAAATGCAACATGCAGATTAAGTGCAGTGTATACTGAGTATTTAAATTAAAATGTACATTTCATAAATACAGTTTCAAGAAAAAGCATCATTTTGTGTATACTAACACATTAAGTGTATGTCAGAAGTTGATGTATAAATATATATTTTAACACATTTTCTGAAATTAAACTGCAGTTTTGTTGAAATATTTGGCTCTTTATGTGTTCAAAATTTGACTAGATTTGTATTTTCAACAGTTCTTTAAATGAAGAGCTATGTTATTAATGACAATGATAGTTCTTAAATTTTCAAAGTAAAAATTTAAAGAATGCAAGAATGGTGAGCAATATTTGTACTCAGTGTTCATATTATGTTAATGATACTTAAATAGAAAATCCTTGTCTACCAAAACTCTTACTTGAATTCAGAAAGGTGCCTGTAGAAATTAACATGTTGTGGTGTATCTGTAGCCAGCTAGCAAATCAGGAGTTGAGAACCAGTAGTTAGCTCTCCATGTTAAAAGAGGATAAGTAAGTATTCTTTATCTATATGAAATAAAATCTTAATGAGATTAGCCACAAACAAGAGGCATAAAATCGGGGTGTACATGGGATTACCAAATATTTTATATTCTAGTGCTGCAGAATATATTCAGTGAACAAAATTTGAATGCTAATAACATTAGAAATAATTAAAGGAACTAAGTACGTAGACATGAGTAAGAAAACTATGTGGATGGAGTAAGATTCTAAGTAGAGCCACATAGGTGAGATAGAATGTGCAACTCTGCTGTTGGAATGTTAAACAAGAGGTTCGCTGGTATGCTTCTCCAGTGCTAATACAGTGATGTAATACATGTGAAGAAAAACTAGTATTAGAAAGGGTTGGAATTTTTGTGAAGATAAGAGATAAATTTTGATTCTGGGGATAGAAAAAGTAATAGTCACTAAGGAAGTGGTTAATATGTTAAGGTTATAATGGTAACTAACAGCAACTATTACTATTTCTACGTTTTTAAAGAACAATAGAAAAGGAGAAAAACATGGATAGTTCACAGAAGAAATAAAGCTTCTAAAGTTTCTAAAGGTTCAACCTCTAGTAACCTAAGAAATGCAAATTAATATTTCTAACAAATTGTTATGTGTCTTTTAAGTAGCAGGACTTAATGTAGAAAGGCGGGCTTTCCTGTGTACTTCTAGAAGGTAATTTGGCAATATGTATCAAGAGCCTTAAAGATTAATAAACTTTTCAGTTTAATGACATGAGAAAGTACGCAACTCATGGTGCAGTGTTCAAAAACACAAAATTACTGTAGTGCCTGTCCTCTCCCGTTACCCCCTCCCCCTTAGAACACAAACTCCCCATACACACCCCCTTCCCCCAAAGAAAAGCTGTGGAAAGAAACCGTTCCATCCAAACCACTCCCATGAGGCACACCCCCACTCCAAAGTCAGCAACAAACTTAAAAGCGGGAAAGATATTACACATTTTGGCATCAGATATATTGTATTAGGAAACATTAGGATCTTAAGTAACTTTCAGCTTTACCTTGGAGATTTAGGGTCTTCTGCTCCAAAGAGCTGGAATATTAACTGATTGAGATCACAGTTTGGGGACTCAGCCTTATAGGAATGCCATCTATCTTTTTCTCATTGCAATACCCATAGACCAAGGTGCCACATAAGCTTTCTGTTGGTTTAATTTGGCCAACCAGGAAATCATAGGTAGAAAATTTTCTGATATGGTAATATGTCTACAACTCAAACCTAACTTCCCCAAAGAAAGTTTATTTTATGTAGTTTCAGTGTGATCTCACAGCTTACACAAAAAGTAGCAGGTGGGAGGTATTAAATATACAGTTACTTTAACTTGAATGTTCAGAGTGGCTAGATTTTTCCAATTCTATTTCTAATGTTCAGAGCAAAGTAGAAGTATTGAAATAAGAATGCTTTACTATCAAGCCCCCAGTTGGTGATCACAACTGCTGCTGTTCGTAATTTTCACAGGTCAGAGATGATATTTTTCCAAGTTTCAAATCCTAGTAACTTGCACCTTTTTAAAAAAAATCATCTTGAGTGTAAGATTAAAGTAACCAGAATACCTCTGTTCTTCATGGATATTTATCTTTTAGAACCAGAAATAAAATATCAGCTAATACTCTGGACTCATTTTTAAGATGATCTGAAGTCATATTTTTAAAGGAAGCTTTACATCTCAGTGGCAGGCACTTTGTGACAAGACTTAGTTCTCATCCACAGTCCTTTTAAAGGGACAAAGCCCAGGCCTCAAGATTTCACAGTTTGAGGATATAGGTAAGCCAGCCGATAGAATGCAATAAGAAATACTTATGTATAAAGTCAAGTGTGGCTTTGTCAAGGTAGGTTTCTCAAGGCGGAGACACTTGAGTCTTGAAAGTCACAACAAGAATTGTTAGCCAAGGGGAAGAGCATTCTAAAGCACAAAACTCAAAGGCTTAAAGGAGAGCATAAACAAGGCTCCTTAGGGCAGCTCACAGAATTTCTCTGAAGACAGGCAGGCAATGACTGCCCCACTGACCTTAATAGTTTGGCGTCTATTCAGAAAGCAAAAATAATTTACTGAAGGATTTTAAGCAGTTGGATGTCATTCTCAAATTGTGCTGGATATTGTGCACAATTCCATGGCAGATGAGAGGTAGATTGGGGAGCTAAAACAAGGCTGAGAAATAACTTAGGAAGGACAACAATAATCCAGAAAAAAAGTGCTGAAAAGGCAAAAACTTCATAGGCAATTTTGTGAAGCTCACAAGTGAAGTTTCTCTTGGGTCTTTCTGTGCCATTGTTTCTTCCACGATGAATATTCCATTTCCAAGAACAGGTGTCCTGTTTTCTTTCCTCTCTAAGGAAAGATCAAAGAGTCCCAACTCATCCTGGAAAGTCTGGGTGGTCTTTTCCTTCATACAACCATATATGAGTGGTCTTCAAAAGTTCATGGAAAGATTCATATTATCTTTTAATTCTCCTTTTCCACAAACTTTTTGAAGTACTCCTGTATCTCTATGAAATGAAAGTCTTTGTTTCCTGTTAAAGGAATTTCAAGAATTTAACAAGACTAGGGAGGGAATAGAGGAGCCTTTGCAGTCACTTTATGCCTCTGTAAATTCAGCCCTAAAAAACTAAATTTAATCTTTTTATGGTAGCTAGGATTAGCATGATTCCAAAGCCTTTTCCTAAAAGCTATTTCTTGCTCCCTGGAAAGGATAATAAGGGTTCTGGCCCCATGGCATTTACTGACAACCCAAGTTAGAATAGGTTTTGCTAGGCTTTAGTCTTTCATTCTGTAACATAAATAATTCAGCAGGCTTCTTCTCTGTAAGTCCCCTACTGGACCTTTCTCCCACCTTCTGCCTCAAGCCTTATAATAATCCATCTTTCTATTTTCTAGCAATACTAATAGTTTATTATTTAATGATGTATTTACCCCTTTTTGACATCTCAGAATATGTCCCTGTCTCATATATCTCTATACCAAGTCACAATTTCTATAGCCAGATAGGTTCTTTAAATGCATGTATTACCTTTATAGGTGGAAGGATTACTACACAAGTGCTATTGTAACTATTTCCTTTGTGGAGTGCAATTGGTATGAAATGCTGTGTTTACAAATGAAAAATGTTAACTGAGGCATTACACAAAGCAAGTTAAAGTTTATAGACATCCTTGCTCTCGCTCTTTCTTAATGGAATCATCAAATAAGAAAAATAAGCCTATCGGGATTGGTGATGGCAAAGTAAGAAGCTTGTATTTTGCACTAGCACAGTCCACTTGGTCGTTAAATTTGTTGAACATATCTGGATGGTGAGTTAGCATTATTTTTCTTTTTTCTAACTAGTGAAACTGACAGATTAGGCAGTTTGGGGGAATTTTCCCACCATCTAATGTCATGGGTCCAAACTAAGTTGACAAAGACATTGCCAACAGAAACCATAGTAATCCCTTTGAAGGAGGGAAGGAAAAGGTGTGCTAACTTGGATCATAAAAATAATTGCATTTAATAACACATTAAATGCCACACTGTAACTTTCCCATAAAGGAAGTCGAGGCCACCTGCTCGTTTCATTCTTTTGCATGCCTGTGATATTTCCATATAACGACTGTAAAGTACTCTTGCCCACAGCAATCCGAAATGTTTTCCAGATCACAGTTCTTGCCATCATTTCACAGGCAAGCAACGCATCTATAGATAAATCATACCTGAGGAAGTCCACGGACAGCAAGGGAACATTTTCCCCACACTTGGGCATGAAAGAATATCAGGTCAGTGTCTAATTGTAGTTTTCCTACTGAAAAGTAAAATATATAAATATATATTGCTTGATCAGGTGGCAGATTTGCATGCACAGAAAAATATGTATAACTTTGTAAAGCCCCAAAAGTGAAGTTTTTGAGAAAAAAATTTTTTTATGGAAACAATATTTAAATGTAATTCAGTTCTGTTTCAGTTTAGATGCTACACCGTATGCTAGATATTTGGGGATAGAAAGATCAATGGGACATAATTTGTGCCCTCCAAGGAGCTCACAGTCCACTGTAAAAGTAAAAGCTGAAGTGCCAAATTGTTTATTCAGAGTACATGTCATCCATAGTTTGTGAACTTCAGGTCACTTGTTAAATGAAAGGTTCGTATAAATCAACAGTAATATTGCCATTCCATGTGAAACACTGACATTGCCAGAAAACAACTTTAAATCACCAAAACCCTTTAACATCCAATAATACTTTTAGAAAGAAGGGAATTGGTGAAAAGCCTCCCATCTTGACACTGAGCCTGTGAGGTATCCCCTCAAAAAGAGGAACTAATCTGAGAAAGAAGTTTACACATTTTTTAATACTCTAAGTTTGTAGATAATGGAACTAATTTAAATCAGACTTAACTAGAATAGGATTTATGTGTCATGAATTATATTGTCTATTGTCTCATAAGCAGCACACTCATTGTTTGGCTGAAAAATCAGCTACCATTCAATGAACCAAGTTAATGACAACTCAGGTGCCTGATACCAAAAATAAATCTCTGATAGATCTGAGAATCCAGAAACGAACACAAATATATATTGAGTAAATGGTAAAAGTGACATTTCAAATCAGTAGGAAAAGAATGAATTATTCAACAAATACTGTTGGGACAGCATGACCATTTGGGAAAAAAATAAATTTGGATCTCTCACATAAATTAGTGCCAGCTAGACTAGCAGTGAGTCTTCTACTTTTTGGTCGCATATCCTTTTTAGAAATTGAAAGCTTGTATATACCCTGTCTCTGTGAACACACACATAAACAAAAAGTTTTACAAATA